GACAGCACCCACTTCACAGCATGTAAATTACACAGCAACCCTTAAAAAAGAAATGGATTTAATTAAAAAATGTAGAACCACAGGCTCTGGAAATTCAATTAAAGGATTTATGCAAAGGTTGGCTAGCTTTTTGTGTTGCAGTTCCTGCTTATATAATGAGCTTTTCATATTAAAAATCAATAGGTAATCTGGGCTAGGGGATCGGCTGCTTATGTACATTTTTTAAATCAATTTGAAAAATAGTCCATCAGCTCCATGTCACAACAGAGAGGGGAGGGAGTGTGTGTGTGTGTGTGTGTGTGTGTGTGTGTGTGTGTGTGTGTGTGTGTGTGTGTGTGTGTGTGTGTGTGTGTGTGTGTGTGCGTGCGTGCGTGCGTGCGTGCGTGTGTGTCGAGGTGGGGGGGGGTCACAGGAGAAAACGCTCAGAAGCTCTGAAGGTAAGAGAGATGAAGGGCTAAGGAGGCAGCGTGGAAGAGTAGAGGGTAAGTGAGTAAGGACGTCTCTCTGGTCGGGTCACTTTCTGGTTCTTTGGCCCGTTCTGATCCCTGATATTAGAGGAGAGAGTCCCCTGGCAGTGAGGGTCTTGCTGGCTCTGACCTGTGGCTCTGGGGTAATTTAGCCCAGCCTCAGCTCACACTCAGCCCAGACTCAGGGAACCAGGCTGGGGGAGACGTCCTAATGGCCTCTCTGGGGTGTCTGGGGCTGCAGGAGCCCCTGTCACAGAAAGACATTTTTTGAAGAGGTGATTTTCACCGAGCAAAAATGTATTAAAAAAAGAAAAAAAACTACAACAAGTACAATTGCAGCATTAAGCAGCGATACAAAATTACATTTTTATAGGTTTGAAGTTTTGAAAAATGACTTTCAACTTCTTTGCTGCTTTCAAGACGGATATTGTTCATACCTCCTTCACACTCGTGTTGTGTAACTGTACACGGGCAGGAGGGGGAATGACTGACTGCATACAGTAGCCGACTGTCAGCATTTGATTGGTTCTTTATTGATCCAGACACGCTCTCCATCACATCAACTCATCCACAATAAACCATTTACACAGTTTCCCTGTGCAATAGACCGCATAACCAGGCCTCAGGCCATCTCTGTTCACCCACTGTGTGTGTGTGTGTCTGTGTGTGTGTGTGTGTGTGTGTGTGTGTGTGTGTGTGTGTGTGTGTGTGTGTGTGTCTGAGTGTGTGTGTGTGTGTTTTCTGTAATGAAATGGTATCTCCGTGGACAATAATCCCAGTAACAGGATTGGGCAGGAACACACATGTCAATACAGCCAAATGGGATCGTGTGCTTTTGTCCAACCCCACACCGACCCGTCATTCGCTCCGTCCATGTTCCTCGATGTCTTTCTTCCCCCGTCCCTCCCACACAGGGCAGCAGCAATGCAACACCACGCTTGTTGTATCTAGTTCTTAGGGGGCGGCATGGGGGGGGGGATTGGGACCTCTGCTCCTCTTTCTTTCCACATGGTTGAGCACCACACACACACACACACAACACTAGAGCACATGTGCACACTCGGATGCCTCGCTGTGACCAGAACCCTGAGGTAAAGGTGTCTGCTGCGCTCACACACACACACACACACACACACACACACACACACACACACACACCACAACCTCGTCCGTCAGGGGGAGAGCTCCTGGACACGGTAGGCAGGGGAGGCGCAACTCACAACAAGCGCTCCTCTAATACGGCCCTGACTGCTGGTGCCTGGTCAAAAGTTCAGCCTGTGCATATGTAAAAAGGTGGCCCGGTGCCCGAGGCAGGATCCTGGGTAAAAAATTCATGCTAAAAACGTTAAGAAGCAAGGGACAAGGCGGGAGTGCTGATGAAACCGCTCCCTCCGGGAATGTCTGATTGGACCAGCGGAGCCTCTTTAGGCCTGCCCACAAAAATCTCCCTCCCCTCTTTCTATCCATTATAGTGGATGATGAGCCGCTGCCCGCACTGATCTGCATCCAGCACAGCACTGTGCCTATAGTTAAGGTATAGATTAAATGAGTATAGGCAGAGCACAGCTGCTCGGAGCCAGAGGGTACACTGATCTTGAGGGAGCAATCAGTCAGTCAACAAAATGTCACAGGGTCAGCGTTGCAGCGCGACAAGACGGTCAACTTCACAAAAGGTTACGGGCCAAACTAATAACTGCAACAGTCACTGAAATGATTTCGGTGGCGCTGTACCGCTGGAGTTTTGATTCAAAGTGTACTGTCTAATAACGTGCGCAGCAAATCGTCAAAAGCCCCAAATCTTATCCTGAATTGCTATCCTAGATCAAATGAATCAAGCTGAATCTATGCCCATCAAGTTCTGTGCATTAAACAGAACTGTGATAACGGCTCGCCTCGGCCTCAAACACACACACACACACATGGACTCCCAGCACATGCACACGCATTACACACCACTGCAGGTCAGATCATTTAGCGCTGACAGTCACACCAAAGGACACAGGCAAAACGCCCACTCTAAACACGCTGAATTAAAGGAACAGGAGTTTCAGGCCTGGTCGCTGCATCTCTGATTCGTAGATCAAGGCGCGCGGAGAGGGGAACATGATGTTAGTGAGAGATAGTTTGGATGATTAAAATGTCATGCCTTTCTCAACTCAGCAAAATAGAATCAGCTCTGTTCATCAATAGCAGAGTGGGCTGTGCTCCCTGCTAATGGAGAAGTTTCTTTCCCTTAAGTAGAATCCACAACACAATGGATGCATAGCGGAAGAAGTCTAAATATGTTTTGCTCAATGCGAGCAAAATGTGGCAGTAGAAAGTTTCACGGTAAAAAAGGTGAAGAGCTGATCAAATAACGCATGAAGCACTATTAATGGAAGTGGGAGGGAAGCATGTACATGATTGGATGACCAAATGTGGTGCTTATGACCTGACACTTCCTCTGCTTTACTACAAACAATCAAATTAAAGATTTAGGACCACATGTAGCTCCAGGTGTTTTAGTAGCCTCCATATTGTGAATTAATGCGTGTGCTGGTCCATGTGTGCGTTTCTTCTTGCGTAGGGCAACGGCATATCACTCCACCTGTGCTCCTATAAATCAAACCAGTGTCTTAAATGAGAGGCTGCTTATTTGCGCGAGCACCCACACAGGGGCTTTGTGATTGTTTTGTGGAGTCAACATTCTGCTTATGTTTGCATCCCAGAACAATCTCCATGGATCCCGCAAGCGTACGCAAGCAATTAAAGCGATACCATCTTCATATCCCTGCAACCAATAACTGAAATAATATCACTGTTTTATTAAGCCCTTAATGTGGGGGGGCAGAAGGAGTGAGGAGTGGGGTTTTAAAGAGGGTGCACTTCCAGGGCCCTTATCAACCCCAGATTTAAATAAGAGCAAATGCTCAGCTTAAGGGTGTGCCTCTGTATCCGTGTCTGCGTGTGGCTTTTATCAGACATGGGTTTCGGCTAATCGCTGTGTCAGCACACCAGAATTTAATTACTAGCTCTACCTTTGTCCTTTTAATATTTACTAACATCCCCACTACGTTTAATTAACCACGTGTATGAAAGCCACAGCCCGCGTTCTGGAGGAGAAACCGCTCTGCTAATTGCATCCGCGCGCCCACATCCAAAAAAACGTAGTGCGCTCTTCCCGTAGACACACAAAAAAGTGTCCTCCGCCGTAGGGTACTTTTTCAAATCTGATTAAAAAACCTGTTTAAGCAATTTGGGTCTGGCCGAAATGGACACTGTCCAGGTTTGTAGATTGAAACAAGCGAGCAATTGGTGAAAAGGGGCTTAGACAAATGTAACAGAAGGTAAAGAGGGCCGTGTGAAAAGAGAGTTTTGTGATAGGAATAGTCATTCGAGGAAATGTTCAGCTTGGCATTTTGCAAAAGGTGCTGAGGAGCAGTTCCCCTCATCGCTCATCCCATGTTAGAGAGAGGGGAGACAAATGACGGCCTGAGGCCTCATGTCTGTCAAACATGATGGATCAGAATAAGGCTTCACTAAAACTCCAACACGCCACCTTACAACACATCACACTTTCCCTTCAGTGCAAACACTAAATTGATAAAGTACGAACAGTAGCTAATGGAAAGATTTAATAGTCAAACTAAAGCATATATTAGGAGGCCATGGAGCCTAAAGGGTAGAGAGCTGCTATCAATTGAAAAGTCTTACAGAGCAGAGGACACAATATAGACCGAGATAAATCACAGTGTTGGATTTTATCGTTCATGTGCAAGGTGTGTGGGGACATTAACCTCGGGCTCCTACCGTCACCGTGGACACGCACACGTGGGCTAAGAGTGTGTATGGTGGTGCGTGGAAGGTCCTGGGTTCAAACCCGTCCAGCACCTTTCTGGGTGGCGTCTGCATGTTCTACCTGTGTCTGCATGGCTTCCTTCCACAGTCCAAAGACACGCCGGAGTAGTTTGGGGAGAGTGTTGTTTGTCTCTGTGTCAGCGCTGCCATTGAGTGGCGACCGGTCCAGGGTGAAGCCCGTCTCTCGACCAGATGCTAGCCGGTATTGTCTCCATCTGAGGATAAGCGGTATAGAAGAAGCTTCCACGCTGCACCAAAGTGGTTACTACCTTGAGAAAAAACTTTAGCATTTAGCTACGATCTTACTTAGAGTAATAGTTAATGTAGACGTACAACACCAACATTGCACAACTAAAAACGCTTCAACATTTGTGTAAAAATCCAAGTGGTCCAATATAAAATCCCTCCCAATCACCATTCTGCATAGCTGTCTCCATCATTGCCCAGGTGAGCAAGTACAAGTACACCCACAGCTCCACTACAATGACAACGTCCCAATCTAGATACTATAAAGTGGACTGTTAAATGCAAAGGCATTAAAAAAAAGGGAGGCCGCCCAGATGAAAAGGGGCCGCATTCAAATTAGGGAGACAATACCAGGAGCCGTTTAATCCAAGGGCGATTCTGACTCCTGGGCCATCACACTAGAGAGTCAAATTTTATTGTGCAAAATTTAACTTAAACAGATAAAAAAAAGACAAAGGTCCCTCTAGCACAGCACCTGAATCTCTCAAAAGCAGCCTGCAAGGACATTATGTCTTATAGTATAGTAGTTAAGCCAGCCTGCTGATAATGCATCTGAAAATATGAGTTCTCCTGATGCAGACGAGTTGGATGGTCAAGCACATTTGAGACAGAACTTATTAACTTTTTGTTTGTGCACCGCATTTACTGTAACCTGATAGTGGCGTCATGCAGGATCTGGAATATCGCCTTGTGAGAGGATGGCTCTCAGAGTTAAATAAACAGTGACAGGAGGAAGAGGAAAGCAGACCGCAGACTATCTCTCTATCTGTGAAACCCAGACTCTCTCCGTGAGCCCTCAGCAGATCAACCACTCTCCATCCTTTTCCTCCACCGGGAACGTGCCAAGACAAATATATAGGCTGAGTAAAGGAAACATCAGCACCAGAACGAAGATAGTAACACCGCGTGTGAAATTCCCTCGCTTGCTTTCCATGTAGAACATTGGAACTCGCTTTTTTTTTTGTATTTTCTGAAGGCATTGGTCAGGTATTCCTACTATTTGTGCAGTCACACGGATACATAACATTTCAAAACAAGTTTGGCCCCTTACCATGGACTTGGTGAAAGGTCTGGCCAGAGAGAAGAGGAAGGTCATCAGCCACCAGCTCCGGTGAATGGAGGTGTACATCATGTTCCCAGGGTGCACTGCGTTGGCGGTGACACCGTGAGGGGAGAGGCGGCGGTGGAGCTCGTTGCTGAAGAGGATGTTGCAAAGTTTGGCTCGATTGTAAGCCAGTATGGACCAGTACTCCTTCTTCTGGGGGGACAGCAGGGCCAAGTCCACTTTGGCACAGGAGTCTAACAGGTCTGTGAACCTGAAACATAGTCCGGATTAAGAGTAGTTCGAGTATTTGTGTGTGTGTGTGTGTGTGTGTGTAGGCCTTCTACGGACAGATTGTGGTGCAGGCTGAGTACAAATCAAAGACGTGATGTTCTTTAATTGCCTGCGACAGAGCTGTTAAACTCCAGATGTTAGACAAGGCCCCTTAAACATTACACCACTCATTTTGTTATTATGCAGTCACGCAATAACATCACTATACACGTGTGCACGCTGTGCGTGTGGGAGAAAAAGAGAGGGCTCCAAACCGGTGGAACACATCCTACATATTAATCCAGTCATTAGAAATCAACCAATCAAAGTGTCTCCGGGTTTCCTTGTTGGGATTTTACAAGCTCGCTGCCTCTTGTTTACTGTCGCCTTCTGCAACATCCTTGCTCGGCTAAATTACAACATCTGCAGGCGTTTCATTTCATGTGCTGCAACTTCATAACTACTTTAGCAAGTAGAGGTAGATAAATCAAATTCTTGAGCACCGAATGCTTTTTTTTGCTACACAATGTGTTCACATGTTTCACTGAAATCAATGAATAAACCTGCCAGATAGGAAAATAGAGATTTTGGTGAACTAAGATATCTCGTATTACATCTCTCAGAGGTAGTTTTATGAAGGGTATCATCAGCCCTTGTTTGACCCGATCAGATGCCGTACTGGGGAAAAGTAAACCTGTACTAGACCAATTCCACAGTAAGCCCCTGTGGTGGAAACTGATAAAGGCTCCAGCCATTTCCTGCTTGTCCGTCTCTCCCATCCTTGTCCCTTATGGGTCAATGCTTTACCAGTAGACAAGGGGCTTAGGGAATACAATATGCTGCCAGGTCAGGGGTCACATACTGCTTGTGAGGGGAGGCTAAGTGAATAAGCGGGAAATCAGCGGAAACTGAAAATAACACAAACAAAAAAGGGGGCACCTTCAAAAGATGTAATATAGGTCTGGAATGAGGTGGACAGAAATGGAAGATGTAATGTGAGATATTGTCTATTTTCGCTGCTTCTCCCCTTCCGTGTAGTCCGTGTGTAACTGACTCTCTCAAGCCCGCGCCTAAGCCCTCTTTGAAGGGGTTAAAGCCACGGCCGCTCGGAGAGGACGGGAGGAAAGGTGAGTGTTCGTGTTGGGCAGGTGGAGGGAGGAGGGGGGGGGGGGGGGCAGCAGGGAGCGACCTAACCATTTCTTCCATTTTCTGTTTGTTTAAATCGCACCCATCGTTTTTTATGCAGCCTGACAGTTTTTACCCCACAAAAGAATTGTGTAGGCGAGCATCAATCCAACGCTGTCAATACTCCTTTCATGACATGGCTTTCTCTCAATAAGCTTTTCCAACTCGCTCTTCCTCTTACTTTTCCTACAGCATGTAATGGCGTTGTGACCCCAAGTGAGTGTCAAGTCCCCCCCTTCCCCCTCCCCGGTGCCGCTGTTCTCTCATGCATGGCAGTCTGTATAACATAACTCATACGAGGCTCCCGTAACAGTGCCACCGTTTGATCTGCTAGAATAACTCGGCGTATGTTGGCTCAGGTCACTCTGCCGAGCTCCAATCCATCACTGCGCTTGGCCGTCTGACTGACTGAGAACTGGATCAATGTCGCACACACCCACGGTGACTCTGAAGCACATGGCTCAAGGCTTGGGCTCACCGATCGCTGAAAGACATGGTGCCTGAGTACTGAATGACAGGAAAAAACCTCTGGATTGGAGTTAACAAAAAGTGGACGGCAGAAGAGAAGAGAAGAAGGGAAAAAGGGGGCTGAGTGCTGTGTTGGATCTATACAATCAGCAGTGTTCACTGACTGTCATGTCTGTCTATGGTCTCCGGTGTGATCTAATCTTAAATAAATGGAGGGTTTGATATAATATACATAGCTTGGACAGTTCATTCTTGAATGGTTTGTCAACCTGGTACGATCATCAGTAGACAGAATTATACCTTGAGAAAGACACCTAAGAGTATTGATTTTGAGAGGAGTTAAAAAACAAGATTCCCTCAAAATGGAAAAGAGGTTTTAGGGAAACCACAGACAATGTGATGCAAGGATTGCATAATCAAACCTGTCTTGCATTGTTTTTATCATAAATGCTACATAAAGCCAGTTCTGCAGGAGCTGAATGCAGCCTGTGGAGACTTATTTTGTTCTCTATATTCTGAGTGCCGCTGCTAAAACTTTGCATGGCTATGAGTGTGAGGCTTTGTCTCTCCACACACCTCGGTGCAACTGTTGGCATTTACTCCTTGAGTTCATCACCACTCGTTTGTTAAAAGGAAATAATGGGAGTAAGCGGCAAACAGTCTGTAAAAGCGACACATTTTCCTCAAATTTATCCCAATTCGAAGTTGTGAATGGTGCCGGATGGATATCAAAAGAAGCTTCAAAGTGTTCAATTTAAGGACGCCATCTGCTGTGGTGGAAGGTGGTAGAATGAGCAGCACCGGTGTGTCTCATGGACGCACATGTGCACATGGATGACACTTTACACACTCCCCACAGCGGCTTTCACGCTGTTCCACTCGTCCACAAGTCGCAGTAACACATGAAGTTGCGCAGCAATGCACCAGAAAGGGGAGGGGACACCGTGGAGTAAACATGGATCCATTAAGTTTTAAAATCACCCACAAGCTCCCGTGAAGCACTTTGTAGGAAGAAGGGAATGTATTCAACGTGGTTGTAATACCTCAAGGATACATTAAGCGTGAACAACATTTTATTTATTTTACTGTAATGATTTAGAATATAATTGTACTTGAAAATTCTTATCAAAGATTCTAATTCTCCTGCAGCAATAAGTCGTCAACCCTTTCTCACTAGTTTACCGTCTTTACCTGTGGGACTCAGATGTTACCACCACCACGCGGGCGGGGGCCGAGCGCCGCAGCACGTCCTCCAGGCCCTGGATGAGCAGGAAGTGGCCGAGGTGGCAGATCTGGAAGGTGGACTCCAGGCCGTCCTCCGTCAGGCTCCAGGGCCGAGTGCACACTGCCGCATTACACACCAGGATGTGAAGGGGCCTGCAGGGGAGGAAGGCAGAAGATGAAACTGGGTTTGATTTTTGTGTCGATTATTAAAAAAAAAGGGGAAAAACGAAGACGCCGCAGAAGCATTAAAGAAGGATTTTTGGGCTGAACAGGAGGTAAGGAGAGACAGGGAGAAGACTGAACACAGAGAAGCAAAGGCAGAGAAAGGAAACAGGGTGTCTTATTCCACTGTGCGGTCGACAGAGGTCCACAGGGACACAGCGTCAGTAATGCTGATATGATACAGAGGTTTCCAGTGCATCTCCCCCATTGCTCGACAGGTACTGTAGATACCGAGTGCATCTGGCCGGGATCCAAGCGCAGCAACAACATTGAAAAGCAATCTGCAACCGTTTCAACACGCGAGGGTGGCGAGAGTAATGGGTGTTGATGAAGGCTGTGTGTAACTACTCGGAGTAACCGAACCCACCAGCACCTCGACTCGGAGAAGCTGAGCGGAAAACAGCCAATCAAAAGGAAAACACACACACAAGTCATGATATTAAAAACGAGACTTAATTCACATCGAGAGGAAAATAAAAAGCATTTCCATTTCTGCAGACTCCGTGTGGGCGAGTGAGTACAGTCGCTGCTCGCGCGCACTCCAGCAAGCTCGAAACCACAGTATCGCAGCCGAACAATCCAAACACACCCCACCAATTTTTTATTTCTTCCATTAGAATTAATTATGAGGCCGAAGGCAATTTGTGTACCCTGTGTTTAAGACTGCCTACTGGATTAATTAAAAACTGCATGCTGGAAAATTAATGTGTGAATTGTTATGCCGTGCTATAATGAGCCATCCCATGCTATTACATAGGAGTGTACTGTACGATCACCTTCAGGCCTCCGAACACACAAGGTTCATTAAAGAGCACAAACCCAGTCACAAGTCAACTTGGGGAATGCCGACCACAGCACATTATCATCAGAGCACGCATAAGCAGCGGGATATTGAAATTTCTCCCCCACAATAAAAAAAAAAGGACGTCTAACGTAACGGCGTGGCAGAAAGAAGTGAAAGAAATGTAAATAAATGACCTTTGTGGCCTTCAATTAAAGCTGGTAAAACGAGATTGGGTAAGACATCGCAGTTGCTGTGATGTTGGTTGCTTTGAGCCCAGCAATCCCCCGGTCTAATAGTGTGAAGTACAGTAACATTGTGCTTGACAAGGCAAGACTCTTTAGGGTCTGTTAGCAACCTGCTGGCTTGAAGCCGCACAATAACACCACGCCTGTGAACTCTTGACCGAACTTGTCAACCTTCCGCCGTAGCCTTCGTTTCCCGCCGGCCATTCTGTCAATTCTGCCGGTTTGTATTCAAATTTTTTTTTGTGACCTCACACTCGATTTATTGGAGCATTCGCAATCAAATACTCCAATAAGCAACTTTTTTCTGTGGGTGATTTCCCCCACGCAGCTCAGATGGGCCTCTGGTGAGTCTGTTTGTAATGTAGAAGGCCTGTTAATTCAACTGCCCACCAGTTAGTCCCTCTCTCATAAGCGCAGGTCTAATGAATGTCTTTAATGGGCCTATTGCCGTGTACCACAGTACCTCTTTTCACATTAGGACCTCACACAACACTGTGTGCGCTGTGCAATCTAAGTGCTGGTCAAACGAGGGTGTTAACTACCAAACAGGAGACATCACTTTGTATATTTACTTTAAATAACCCCCATGGGTATGACCCCTGACCTCCATTATAATGTGGGGCAGCAGGAGGAGATTGCCTGTGTGAGCTGGGCTCAGAGTCCTGGTCATTAACACTGCACTTAATTGGTTACAAGTAAAGCGGCACAGGCAACACACATATGGATATGAGCCCCCTTCTCCTTCTGATCCATATTCAAACTCACAGCAGAGGTGAAAACACACCACAATTTGACATCTGTGTTTCGGTCAACATGATTCAAAGCATGAGTGTCCATACAAGCTCCTGTTAAATATAATATGTTTGAAATTAGCACAGGTTAAATGCATTTAAAAATAAAAAAAATCACAGGCGAAAACAAATTGCACGTGTTAATTACGGGCCGTTACAGTAGAAATTGTATTAGGGGCGTTCTGTCAACACTGTCCTCCATCAATTACATCCCAATGAAATTCCACTGCGTTCAACAATATCAATATCCAGGTAATTTCATTTCAAAGGAGAGGCAATTAAAGCAAAATCGGGGTCAATGGAACACAAAGCAGCGTGAAAACTGACTAAAGGGAGTGAGAAACGAGAGAAGCAAAAGAAAAAGACTCTGATTACATTTCACCTGTCAATGACACGCTGCAGCAGCATTATGGTGTGTGTGTGTGTGTGTGAGTGTGTTTGGTCTCCATGTGTTTACAAAACTCTGCGTGCACGCGTCTCTGCGCGGAATTGTACGTGCGCGTTGTGTGCGCGCCCTCTCCTGCGTGTGTTATGCCTGAAGACATACGTGCAGTAATAGAGTGGCGGTAGAGTCAGACAGCTGCCCAGTGCCATTCACAGCTCAGAGCTCCCAGCCTCCACTCTGCTCTGTTCGCCTTCTGATGAGAATTAATGTACTCTGACGTCCCCTGGGACCCCCTCCTCCCCCCTCCCAACAGCACGGCTAATGAATTAATAGAATCTTGCCAAAATACTGAGGTAGAGAGACGGAGGGAGGGAGTAAGGAAGGGGGAGCAACACAGACAGAGAGAGACAACACGAGGGAGAGCTCGACGCAGATAAACACATTTCAAAAAAGGAATATGCAAATAAAATAATAAGTATAATATCCTGCAGAGTGCATGGGAGGGGTACATGGATGAGATGGGAGTGAAGGATAGGACACAGGGCGACGGGAAGCCACCGCGAGGTTTGGCTGCGACCCAACACACGTGTCCTGAACGGCCATTCCCCGCCCCAGGGCTGCTCCGGGCAACGACTGCCCTGCCTCTCCCCAAGGGGCTCCCCCGACACCAACACCGACACACCCACACACACACACACACACAACGGCGGGTGGATGAGCAGTGTGGATAACCGAATACGTGACCCCCAAAATAACTGAGCGACCGACCGCAGGCAGACCGCACGGCACATGCGGTAAGAGCTGACCACCACAAAACAAGTGCAGTAAAGTCTAGAAGTCTGTCCCCACCAATGTCAAGCAAATCGACGCGAATACATCCGCGTACTCCAGGGAACGTGTCCATATGGTGTCCATCAGTTCGGCCGTCCTTAAAGGATGCTGGATGTGGGGGGCAGTGGGAACAAATGCATTGGGCCTGAACAACTAGTTTAAAGACCAGGAGTCTGTTAACAATGGAGATGGCGAGTGAGCTTAAACCCTCAAAGAACGTCCGAGGATGTTGGAGGGACCAGGCGGATTCTGCTTCCAGTTCAAACACACCGTGCACCATTACATAGAGAAGTCATAGCGGTGTTCACCACACTGTTGTTGGAAAGGTCTTACCGAAACATGAGTAAATAATCTAATGAATGGCAAAGAAATATCCGGTGTAGAATTGTAAAATTGTTGTGTTTAACTCACAGTTTCCTGGCTTTGTAAGACTCCGTAAACTCCCTGACACTCCGGAGAGAGGCCAGGTCGCACATCATGGCTTCCACCCGCGCTTTGTGCTGCAGAGACAGGGAACATAAAAGCGTGGATTATTACCAAGCAACGGGGTCAGAACCCTTCATTTTGTTCATAAACAAACTTATTGTCACATAAAATGATTTATTATTACCATTAAAATGTTTTAATGGTAAACAAGAACTGGCTCCTGTGTTCTTCTGAAGGTTTCCATACTTTATGGTTTCATGGGAGGAAATGATCTTCTTCGAAATCAAGACTCCAGACTGTAAAAGAAATGTGGTAGTTTGTAAATTTATGATCGTGTCCTATAGAGATACAATTAATGATACTGATACTGTTACATTCCCTCAAACCGATACAAAAATGCAAAAAATGGTGACACGTTTGCGCGTCTCATCTTACACCATATGTCAGGAGACAGGAGGACAGGATAGCAGAGGAGAAGAGAAAGATAAATGACTGCAGAAGTGAATGCATAGCTGCATTTACACACCGAGGAAGAGGGGCTAAGTATTAATTTTCCTCTCCATTTAGCGCTCTGCTGCGGGCCGAAGGCTTCAGCAGGGACGCATGCAGGCCCGAAGGAGCACATCTCTTTACTAACAGAGTACGTTCATGTTTATTTTTGTCTGTGATGAAGTATGTCGACTTAGACCCTCCTCCCCCGCCTGCCCCTTCCCGCAGTTCTCTACATCTTTATCAGCAGAGGCCCACCTCAACACACAACTACGGTTCAATCTTCCTCCTACACGTGAGCCCGCAGGGGCCATCGGTGCACGGGAGCGTGCAGCGTGAACCAAGGCGGAGAGTGTTCCGTTCGGACTAACGGCCCATTAGACTCATCCGTCACGCTGGAAAGGGAGAAGGAGGGAGGAGAGATGGCTACCGGGACCCCCAGCGGGGCTCCGGGTTTAGCAGCACCGGGCAGCCACCCCCCGGCCTGCTGCCTCTCCCCTGCGTCCCTGTGTGTCTGTGTGGAACACACACACACAGCAAATTCAGTGTTGTGACTCAAGGGTAAAACCACGCTATCACACCATTATCTATGCCTGAATTATTCTCTTGATGCTACTCAATACCATTATATGGATGCTTTTACAAAGCATGAAAGGGCTGATTATAGCTATTATATTATACATATTATAGGGTACCTGCTACCTGCTTATATGATGCAGTAATGCAGTAATCACAGGCGAGAGGAGACAACTATCTAATATAATGACTTGTATGTGCAGCATTTAAACTCCCGACTACTTTTACACAGTACAAAGAAATGTAGATGAGGCAAAAGACAAATCAGCTGTGCAAGAACTTTTCTGTCCCCGACTATTCAGGTACATAACATGTACATAAGTGTAAGATGGGCGATGGGAGAAAGGTGCACCTGGAAGAGGTGGGTGAAAAATTGTTCTTTTGCAATTGAGAACTGAATTGTGCAGCAAGAAAAATTGAGGCTTCCAAACAAGGTCAGAGAAGGCAGCAGCGTGATGATTAATAGGTCAGTATGAGGCCTCAACAGGGCGGCCCTCCCTAAACGTATGACCAGCAGAGAAGATGAGAGCAGGTGCCAGCTTGACGAAGCCGGCCTGGCCGCCCATCTACCCTCCCCCTGCGGATTGCAAGTCTTTATTTTATTGCCTGGAAAGAGGCATGTAAAAGCATTAAAGCGATGGAGGTGAACAATTAGACAGATGGCTAGGTTTTGGAAGGAGAAGAGGGGGGGAAAGGGTAGAAAAGAAGGGAAGAACACACAGACGCAATCGTTCAAGGTTTTTATGAGGACCCTGACAACTCCTGGTCTCTTCAAGGGCGAAGGAAAAGTGAGAGGCAGCGAAGCCTCTCTGGTTAACTCCGGCGTAATCGCTGAGTGTGCAGCGCCACAGAGCCCGGCTCGGGGATGACAGAACCTATCGCCCCCAGCTACACACAACCCATCGCTCCCTCCACATGCAAAAAAAAAAAAAAGGCCAATCGTGAATGAAACGCGCGTTGCGTGTAAACAAGCTCAGCTGCTCGGAGTCCAAGAAACTGCGGCAGGCCGCGCGGCCGCCCACGCGGTGGGAATCGGCAAGGTCGCCATGACGGGAAGCGCTGCCATCAGTTCCCTCGGCCCTCCGCTCTCGAGCTGGCGGTAACATGACAACGACCTCTGCGACTTCGACCGGGAGGAGGTGAAGAAGGAGGGAGGGGACGAGGAGCGAGGACGCAGAGCAGAAGTGCTGCGCCACTGCTGTGGAGACGGAGTGGGCGGTGGAGAGTGGGGGGAGGGGCGGGGGTCCCTAATACAATTATAACTGGGCCCATCCAATCCAATAAAATGAAGAGGTATTAGAGCAGGGGAGACCCATTCTGTTCAATAAGACACTGGAGCACTCTACTAACTCTTAAAACACACACATGTAGGCATACTCACACACACGCACACACAGGTCCGCACTACTCTGACCCCTTTAATGGCGTAGCAGCCACCCCTAATGGACGCAAGCAAGTGGAACCGCCAAATAATACACTGTCTTAATGCACTTGGATCAATCTCATCCCCCTCGCTCTCTTTTTCCTCCTCAGCCTTCCCTCTCGCACTCTGACCCCCCGTTTCCATCTTCACTCACCCCCGTGGTGCCTCTTTACCACCTCAACTCATCTTATGGATCACCCACACTTAAGAAATCAAAAGCACCCCCCCGTATACAAAACACTTACCCTGCCGCCTGCCTATAGGATGCTCAACGAGCCGGTTGCTCTCTAGCGTTCCGTTTGAATACCTGGTATCGATACGAGACAACTGTCATGTTACTGTCATGGCTGCGCTTTAACCGGCAGGTGGGGCGGTGAGGTGTCGTAATGGCTGTAAAAGTGAATGAGCAGGGACGACACCACTTGAAAAAGCAATTAGAGAAATGACTTTGAGCCCCTCTTCTTGCTCTGTGGATTAGAACGGGCCTCGGAGGGAGGACCACAGAGGAGCTCAGATCTCCGTGACCTTGTCCGCAACACGCCACACTAAATTAGTCATCAGCTTTTAAGACCACATTTTATCAGAGATATATTTTTAGCAAAAGAAAAAGAGATACGGAGTGTGTGTGGGGGGAGTGTGGGGGGGTGTAGAATATGCTGGTCGTAAATCATCCTGTCACAATTATGACGTTTGTTCATAAATACCAAGCAATCTCCTCTCCACCTGGCTAAGTCACATGCGCTCGTGCTTATGCACGCACCGCACACCGACAGAGGAGTATGGACACGCGCACACACGTGCATCACGTGCGACGGACGCACACATGAACGGCACAAATAAAGAAACAGACACATCTGCCTCTGGTCTCAGAGTTGACCTCCACACACACACACACAGACAAAGAGACAGAAACATGCATTCACGCTCCTAACGCACGAATGAATGCCCACGCCACATTACAAACACACAAACAAACATATGCACGCGCACGTAGACATCCACTTTCTCACTGACGCTCTCACACACACTGCAATTAATAGGGAGGCAGGTCTCTGGTGAGGACGGGAAAGTGCCTCTTCAGCACATACAGTACAAGCAGAATATGCAATTTCCTCCAGTTAAGTCTGTATTAAATTGATTTCTTCTTTCTCTGACACAAACTAGTCCCCCCCCCCCCCAATGAAAGCTGGATAATCTACAGGTTTTACCTTTCCTGAAATCAAGTTAAAAATCAAGCAATTGGAGGGGCTGATACGGGAAAGGTGAAGAAAGGACATGGAATGATTTTCCAGATGAGAAACATGGATGAACGAGGCCCATACGTGCCGATACTCTTAACAGAGACATCGCTCTCACACACTCTCTCTCACACACACACACACTCACACGAGAGAGGCCAGGCCGCGGTTACGTACTTGCCGACATTTACGTTCAGTTATGTACTGAGGTTTCAGCAGGCCGTATTAGTAAGCGCTGCATTAATGACTGTAATTAATGAAACACAATTAGTAAGCACTTCAATTAGTTAATCGCTCACTCACGCTGCACAGAAACACTGAGCATGCTGAGAAAAACGGAGGAGGGAGGACTTGACAGGAAAGGAAAAAGGGGAAATAATTACAGGGACAGTGAAGGGGAAATGTTTTTATTCATTTTAGCAGATAATGGTATAATATATAAATACTCCAATTATTCTCTTAAGAAATGTAGTTATCCAAATATGTTGGTGAGAGTTAACAGCAGTATGTACTTCAAATGAACCAAAAGTAATCATTATGCAGACAAAACGGCAGTGTTACATTATATTGTATAATTATTATTACTGATGGTTTAACGTGAGCAGAGTCTTAATATCAAGGCAATTTTTACACTATATACTGCTGTGTTATTTATTTTAAACTATAGTGACGTATTTATATTTTAACAATCATTCAAAACTTTCAAAATCGTGGTCTGAAATTAAAACGCGGTGAAATAAAAATAACATTTTCCCTATTTTATGGTGGAATAGTGGTATGCGTATAAAGAATAGAAGAATAATTGATTCATTTTTTGGTACTTTCCACCACAACATGTAGTTTGTAATTTCCTGTAAATTCGAAACACTATGCAAAAAATATAGTGAAAATAAAAAATAAATGATTATATTAAAAAAAAGAACAAAAAAAAAAAAGGAAAACATTTTTAAGGAGCAGGGAGGAATGAGTGTGTCTGTGAGTTAAAGGAAGTTGTAGCTCGAGGTGCCATCAAGCCTTTTATTGGCGCACTTTTGAGAATCTATTTTTTTACCTTGAAGAAGAGAAACAGAGAAAAAAAGAGAGATAAAAAGAAAAGGGGATGGAAGGAGGGTGTGAGAGCCCGAGACAGAGACACAGAGAGAGATAGAGTCTCTGTCTGTCTGTCTGAGACAGAGACAGAGACACAGAGAGAGAGAGAGAGAGAGAGAGGGGACGGAGATGGGAAATGAAAAGGACAGAGCGGCCATTATAATTGCAGAGTTTGCTTTTCGGATGCAGACAGACCAGGGCCGTGGGGCCCGAGGCAGATATCAGATTCTACACAAACACACACATACAAACATACACG